AGCTAGTGGTTGAGGGATGTTGCCTGGGAAGTCAGGATTCCTGGGGAATTGAGACAGAGAGCCAGGCCTGGCACTCCCAGGGCCATGAGCCCACCAGCCATGCCAGTATAGACTTACGATATTACAGAGAAGTCCTGGTGGGTCCAGGCGAGCACTGGGAGGCTCTCTGGTGGCCACAAATGGACTTAGTGGGACAGTCCATCACCCTTTCATGCACACATTAACACCCAAGACTCTCCTGGTTGCCAACGACGGGGGACCCAACCTCAACAGGCTAAGTAAGTACGTGAAAATTGTTGGCTCCAGCATCTGGAAAGTTCCTAGTGGCCTGGTTTTGGGCTGGACTGGACCCAGGAGCTCGATGAATCAGAAGGCTGCCTCCCCTTACCTCTGGCTCTGATTCCCTCTACTCCTAAGACACCCCCTCTAAGGAAGGTCACCCTGAGTGGCAAGAGGACTTCCTGGTTCCAGACCCACTTTGGGGCAGATTAGCAACTCCAGGAGATTTTTATTGGTCCAGCTTAGGTCATGTGCCCACCCCTGAACCGATCACTCGGTCAGGACTGTAGTTCTCTGATTGGCCAAGCCTCCCCTCCCCATCAAAGCGTGGAGCACAGTGCTTGGAGAAAAATATCCCACAAGGGAGACGTGGAGATGGGGAGGTTTGAGTGAAATCTGGAAATATGGTGGTCAGACAGAGAACAAAGACCGCTTGTGTCTTAGCCCATGCTGAAGGGGGGCGGGGGCTTGTTGTTGCTTAACTGACCCCCACACCCCCAACCTGATCAGACACTCCCGGTCCTGAAGTATCTTCTAATTAGTGTCTGTCCTTGGGAACCCTGAGCTTAGCACAGAATACATAAATGTCAGCTGCCACCATGGCTTTATCGTGTACTAAGTTTAAAGGTCAATTTTCCTTTTCACTGGGACTTTTAAACTGATTACAGCCTCTGTCTGAGGAAGTGTGACTGCACTTGATCCCCAGAGTAAAAGAGGGTTATGGGACCACTCACTGGTTTGCCACTCTCCCCCCCGGAGTCCCTAAAGCGTGAGCTTGTTCTGAACCACGACCCCTATGCTTGGGGAGCATGCGCTGGGGCCCTGGACTTGGGCTGACCTGGCAAGCCTGTGCAGACAGATTTCCACGCCTGAGAGAGGACAGGAGCCAAGCCCCCAGGGCCTTCCCACACTCAGGTTCCCTGGCACTGGGTCCTGCTCCTCCTGCCTGGCCCCTACCTCACAGCTCACACTGGTGCAGCCAGTTTGACCCCCCTTTTTCTGGGGTTCCTATGTGTTCCACGAGATGTGTGTTCCGAGATGCCCCTCCCCACCTCCTCTGGCTCAGCCAAGCAGCCACATGTGCCCAGCTCTGCCTGATAGCAAGGCCTGGTCCAGCTCCGCTTCTCGTCACAGCCCACACCTTCCCTGATCAACACGCTCCAGCACTCCTTAACTTCCTACAGGAGCCTTTAAGGAACTGCTGAATGTTCTGCACCAGGGGCCCAAGTGCAAACGATGAGCCAACACTGTCAGCAGGCAGTTTCCCGGTGCCACTGAAGGCTATCTGGGGGCTCAGGTTAAGGAATCTTATCTCGGAAGGACTTCCCAGAAGGACTTACTTCTTCTTAATCCTTCCATACTGGCTGCTGTTCTTACCATGTACGAAGCTACACAAATGCCCCCAAATTACTTTATGAATCATAATGACTGTGAACACATGCTGAACACTTACTATGTACTGGATACTACTGCAAATGCATTATGGGTATTAATACATTTGTGCCTCACACCAACCCTGGAGGTTTGGATAAGTAGAATCACCCCCATTTTACAGATGAGGAAATTGAGGTACAAACAAGTCAAGAAACTTTCCCAAAGTCTCATTGCAGAAGCAAGGTGATACCTTTCCTACCCAGCAGCTGGTTTCCTAGTTCAGTCTACGGTCTTCCTCAAGGCTGAGCCAATGCTTGGACACTCTGACCCTGATGCAGGCTGGCATAAAATGAAATGAAACCAAACAGCCAAAGGGGAGCTACTCCAGACAAGTGGCCATCAGTACCTTCCAGAGACTCCAAGCTTTGTGGCAGGCTGTTTCTACAGACGTATCCTTTCTATCATCTCTGCCAAACCCATTCATCCTTCTGGCCTAGCTGATGCTTCCCCCGTGCAGCCTTCCCGGCATCCAAGTGTAGGTTGGATGCCATCTCCTGCCACCACTCCATGTGATTCTAGACCCTAGAAGTTTCCCATCCCAGCCCTACCACTCTGTATCACAAGTGCCCATTTAGCTGCCTCTCTTCCAAACTGGAAATTTCTAAGTGAGCAGGGATTATTAAAGTCTGACTTTGTTTTGAATGATTTTTTTTTGAAAAATAATTCTTATTTTTTAAAATATATGTTCAGTAAAGTGCATACATCATAACTGGGAGTTTTTATGTACACAACCATGTACTCAGATCAAGATATAAAACATAGGTAGTGCCTAGAAGTTCCCTTGGTGCCTTCCTAGTTTTTAACCTCACTCCAGAAGTCTTCTGACCAGTCACTATAGTTCTGTGTTTTCTGAAACTTCAAATAAATGGAATCACACAGTAATACTTTTCTGTCTGACTTCTTATGCTCCCCATGATTCATCTTGCTACATGTTTCAATGGTCTGGCCTTTGTACTGCTGTGCAGTATTCTACTGAATGAACATACCAAATTTCTGTATCCCCTGACTGTTGATGAACGTGTCAGCTAGGATACAGAACACCTGGAACTCTCACTCTTTGCTGGTCGCAGTTTAAGTCGCTACCACCACTAAAGAAAACTTTGTCTTGTCTATCATCGATAACAATGATATATTTGATATCTATATACTGACATATATATCGTCTATCATTGTCATATACATCTCATTGAGTGCTTAGTATGTGCCAAGCACTGTACGAAGTCTGCATTACCTCACTTAATCCTCCCAATCAACCTAAAAAGTAGATAGTTGCCATCTTTGAAGTAAGACCATCATAGTATCAACATGATAGGATTATCGTGAAGTTGAACTAACACTCTGAAGGACTTAGCCCAAAGGTGCCATTTTGGAAATGCTGTTTATGGTACCTCTTATTGTTATTACCAAAGGACACAGGGCTGGGAGTTCAGGAGCCTGGGATCCATGCCTCCCTGACAATCTGAGTGAGTCATCTCAGAAGCCTTGACCTCAGAGATCCTGGAAGGTCACCTCTGCTAGCAAGGACCTCTGGGGAGGATACAAGGCATACTGGTCAGTAAGACCCAGGCTCTCACTTCAAGAAGTTGAATGGGCAGGGAACAAGACTGAAACTGTGCATCGGGAAAGGTATTGGGAGTTTTGGGAGCCCTCTACTACATGCTTCTTGTGCAAGTTTAGTAGAGAAGGCTCTTTCAAGTGACAATTGCTCCATATCTGCCTCATAAGCCTGTCAGGACCACAAGGGCTTGGTCGGTGTATGTTTTTCTAGAATTCACCCACAAATACGAACAAGTGTCTCCCTTCCCCCAGGCACTATGCCAAGAGCTGGGGGGATACAGCAGTGACCAAGACAGACAAGGTAGGGAAGGGACACTGAACAAGGAAATGAAAAGCAAGAGTCTTCTGGTGGCAAGTTCTGTGAAGAAAATGCAGCAGGACAAATGAGGTGGAGAGAAAGTCCTAGGCAGTGGGGTGCTGCAGATTAAGTGGTCACTGAAGACCTTGAAGTTCTAGGGAAGGAAGAACAGCCCGATGGGGGTTCTCGCAGGGCACAAGCTCCAAGGACTTGAGGTGAGAAAGGGCAGATGGTGGTGAGAAGCTGAGAGTGAAGGGGGTTGAAGGGAGGTCTGTGATGATATGAAGGCCAGTTCCAGTGGAGCCCCAGACGCCAGCACAGAGAGTGCGAATTTGACCCTGAGCCCCACAAGAATTACTCTGAAGGCTTTCGGCTAGAGGGAGCTGCCTGGAATCCCAAGGTCCAAATCAGCTTCTTTTAACGCCCCCGGAAGAGTCTGTCGTGGAGGGGCAGAGAGGGAAGGTGCTGGGCTGTTCACTGAATGAATGAATACACCCTTGGAAGGATGGGCAGACACATGTCCAGGAGCAACCACCATGCCACCGGCGTCTCAGACAGGCTGGGGCTGCCAGTGGCACCGGTTGTAGGCCAGCGAGGAGGCGCTGTGACCTTGGGCACATCCCCGCCCCAACTCACAGCCCGGAACCCTGCGTCTCAGGGGCGGGGTGGACGTGCAAGGAGGGACAGGGCGCGCGCGCGACAGACCGACAGACGGCGGGTCCTACCGCTTGCTCCTGCGCGACCCCTGCCAGACCCCCGCCCAAGCCCGAACTCTCGCAGTCTGCGGTGTTTACATTCCACCCGCGGCGGCCACGCGGCCTTCTGGCGCTCGGGCGCCGCTCGACTCCGCCCACAGAGCCCCTCGGCCCGCCCCTCCGCGGCGCTCGCGCCAGACCTCCCCCGCGTTCTGCCAGCCCGGCGCGGCCCCGCCCTCCACCGCGCGCGCCAGCCGGCCTCCCGCGTCCGGCTCCGCGCGGCGCCGCAGCTCGCGCCGCGCAGGCCCCGCCACGGCCCCGGCCCCGCCCCTCCAGCGCGCAGGCCCTGTCACTTAGCCCCTCCCCGCGCAGGCCACGCCCCGCTCAGGCTCCGCCCCCAGGCGGTCCCGAGCGCCAGGGCTGGCTTGTGCGGCGGCGGGGGCGGTCCTGAAAGCTGTAGCTGGGCGGGCCCCGGCCCAAGGACTGCCGCTGAGGGGCTCGGAGCCGGTCGGGGCGGGGCGGAGGGTGGCGGGAGGGTGCGAGGGCGGGCCGGGGGCCGGTTCCGCGCGCAGGGATTTTTAAATGTCCCGCTCTTAGCCGGGCGCAGGAGCAGCCGGCTCGGCCGCCAGCGCGGTGTAGGGGGCAGGCGCGGATCCCGCCACCGCCGCGCGCTCTGCCCGCCGCTGCCTCCCGCCTCCCGGCTTCCCGCTCGCCTCGGCCTCCTGCCTCCGGCCTCGGCTCGTGCCGCCTGCCTGCCGCGGAGACGGCTTCGGGTAAGGGCCCTGTCGCGAGCTGCGGGACGGCGCGGCAGCTAGGACTCCCACAGCTCCCGGGTTGGGCCAGGCCGGGCCGGGGTGGGGGTGGGGGTGGGGCGAGGCCGGGTCACCGGGTCCCTGAGGCGTCAGCGCGGGGTGCCCCGGTAGGGTGGCTCAGAGACGGACTAGGAGGAGGTGTTGAGGGGGAGACTGAGGCAGACCGGGCCGCAAGGGAGGCGGTGGGCCGGCGGGGATTTCGGGGGCCGTCTGGGCCCCCCCAACCCCGGGTTCGGACCCGGCATCGCAGACTGTTGGCGGCGCCGCGGGTGACAGGCCACCCGGGCCCATCGGCCATTTTCCTGACCGGCCCGGGTGGCTCCCGCCGCCGCCGCCCGCGTGGGAGGGGGAGGGGTGCCCGGGGTGGGCTGGCCGGCCCTGGCCCCCCCACCGCCGGTCTTCTTCACCCCACTGCCCGTTTTGTACCCTCAAGGCCTGAGACCTGATCCCACGCCCCAAGCCATGCCGAGGGAGAAGAGGGAGAGGTGAGTGGCCCTGTCGCTGTGGGGACAGGAAGGGTGTTCAGTCGTGGGGGAGGGGTGAACCCAGATTTGGGGAGAACTCACCCTGTCCTCTGTGCCACCCTGACTTTGCAGGGATGCAAAGGAACGGGACACCATGAAGGAGGAAAGTGGCACTGATGTCTCTGTTCGTTCCAGGAAAAGGAAGGCAAATGTGGCTGTTGTGAGTACAAAGGAGACAGGTGGGGGAGGAGGACCCCCCCCCAAAATCTTACCTGAGAACCAGACTGGGCTCTGCCACATGTTTATTGTAGGGGGTTATTGGGAGTGCATTTGGCAGCAGTGGTGCCCACAACCTAACCAACTTTTTTTTTCTTCTCTCTCTCTGTTTTTGTCTTTGAACTGTTTGGTGTGTTTCCCTGGGGGTGGGTTTGCTTTATTTTAGTTTTTGCAGGATCCAGATGAAGAAATTGCAAAAATGGACAGGACTGTGAGAAGTCAGTGCGGCATTCAGGTAGGTACACTTGCTGATTGGGCCTAGGTGGAGGCCTCCTGCTCTTTGTGGGTTAGATTGAATCTTAATCCCCCTTGCCTCCTTCTGAAGGCTTTTTCTGTACCTATGACCACAGTACATATGGCTGAGCTCTGTACCCATTAGTGGCACTGACCTCCGCCAGCCATGGGATTCCAGAAAGGTCTTGGGTTCCTCACCAGCACCTTTGAGACATCTTTGATGTCTGAAAACACCAGAATGGACATCAAATAACTCAGTCCTCTCCTTTTGCCCTTGAGGAAACCCAGACTCAGAGGAAGAAAGTAACCCAGAGCCCTGTGCAGTCCAGGGGCAGAGTCCATCCTAGAGCCCTGTTTCTAGGCTGGTGAACTGGGGTGGGGGAGGGCTCCTAACACAGAGATCTCTGGGTAACTGTGATGATGAGGGTTTGTGTGTGTTCATAAGCAACCACAAATTCTCCCTATCTACTCTTCTATTTTTCCATCATGTCATGGTGCTTAAGGACCTCCCACCCCCTTTAGGTCACCCCCTTTAGAATCCCGCTCTGGGGGTTCTGAGCCCATCCAGTAGTTAACCTACAGTGACTACTGCTGGCTGGGGCTTGACCTGGTAGAATATTCTGTGTGATGATACATGTGCCTCAACCCAGTTTTTTAACCGACTAGTCCATTTCTCTTGTTGCTCTGGAATGGAGTTACTGCCAAATTTCCCGCATGCTCATGATATCATTACAATATCAGAAGTTCTAGCAGAGAAAGCTTGTGTTATCTCTCTACTTCCAGAAATGGCTGGAGACTGTAGTTATGGCTCTAATAGGGGAAGCAGCCTATCTCCAAATTAGTGGGTCAGGCCTTCTGACCCTATCATAGAGAAAAGCTGAGCAGGAGGAGAATTTGAGCTGAGGGCAATGGTCCCAACTAGGTTAGCCATGGGCGGCACATCACTTTGTTGGGCAGTGAGCAACAGCCATAGCAGTTGGTTCTGGAAGAGTGAAGGGCTTTAAGGCAGTGGGTTTGCAGTAACAGTTGTCATTGCACATAGACCTTAGTAAGTAGCATTTCTGGGGAGGTCCACTGAATATTGAACAAGGGGTTGATGATTTCCTTCTCATTAGATGAAGAAATATTTCACTTAAGGGAAGGATATAAGACAATTCTTTCTTTCCTTTTCCTCTTCTTTAAAAAATAAAGAACAAACTTTAAGCAGGGTGATTTGTGTGGGACATGATAAAAATGGATCTCTGCTTTGTGAAACTCAAGATTATTTATTTAGCCAACTGTTTCTGAATTGAAATTTCCAAGTGAAAATGAAACAAAGGCATCCATATTGACTTCTTAGAGTTTCAGAGTAGTTTCTGTTCTCCAGGAGGATCAGTGCAGTGCTCGGGTGCCTAAAATGGGGCTGTGGTCCTATCCCTAAACTGTGGACAGTTAGTTGATTGCTCTGGTATATGAATAGCCATATCATTTCCCACTAATCAGAAGGAATTTTCATGGTTGTTCCGAGATTAACAACAACAGGTTTCTGCACATTTCGTAGAGCAGATAGCTTGAAAATTGTCCCATCTACTTATGGGGGTAGTTGTTGTCTTGTTATTTCTCTGTGTAGATTCATGAACCTACAATTTTGGGGTAACACAACCTTCTTGCCTATTAATTATGCAGAAATTTCTCAGGTGTTATAATTCAACCCAGTACAACATCCTTGAGCTACCTGTGGGCTTTATCCTAACTCCTTATAACTGCTTCATCAGGACCACAGAGAACCTTGGATTCTTTCTTTAGGCCTTTCTTACCAACAAGACTACCCTTTTATCTAAAATCCATTCAACATAATTTGTTCTGTTGTTTAACTTTTTGCATGAGACCCACCTTTTTTACTGAAGTGAATCCTGGCCTTTTTTTGTTGTTACTTCTCAGCCCCTGATTTTGCATAGGTCATCCTATTGTTAATTAAAAATGACATAAAGAGTTGGGGTGGTTAGAAATAGTCAAAATTGGTATCTTAGTCTTATCCTTTTCCTTCCTAAAGTCAGATGGATTTAGGTTCCTTTAAAACCCAGTATCTGCTCAAGAGAAAGGACAGAGACTTCAAATTGTGCTTCACCCCCTGGGTCCTAAAACTTTCTGAACCACATGTCTGCTTGTGGGTCTTCCAGTTTGTCTGTGAACTCCGAGTTGGAAACTGCTGCCATCTTCTCCTCAAAACTGCTTTCAGCTCTTTCAGCCATCGGCCGCGGAGGGTGGCACCCAGCTCCTGCCTTCACAGCTAGAATTCATTCTTGAATGAAGAACAACTTGAAGCAGTTATGTGACCCTTTTTGTGTCAAGGAAATGCTACCAGCACATAATACTAGAGCTGGAAGTGGAGGTTGCCCTTCTGGAACAGCTGTTGGCAGGAGTTGTCATGGTTAATTTGCATGCCCAATTCTTTGCACCCTGGGTGGAGAAGAACTTTATCCCGCTTTGCTCTTCTCAGCATACTGAAAGTGCTCTGGCTGCCTCTGAAAGTGGCCGGTGTGTCATGAGAGCCCTGCTCTACCCTGTTCTCCAGACAGCACCTGGAGCCCATGTCCCCATGCTAATTTCTAGTTGCCCCATTGTTCCTTTTCTTCTCTAGTCAACTTTAATGAGCTGTCTGCTTTAAAAAAAAAAAAAAAAAAAAAGTGCCAAGAGTCTCAGACTTCCACAGGGTTTCCATGCTGGCGGGATTTATCTGCCACATTGTCACCAGAATCACTCATCTAATTAAAAAAAATCCATCATAGGCTTCTTTTCCAAGTAGGATGATAAACAGAGTAGCTTTAAAAAGAAACTTTTCTAAAAGGCAAAATGACCTTAGTATTCTCCAAATACTGAAAATTGAATAAAATTAACTATCTGGAATTTTTAAAGGAAAAACATATTTGGGTTTTTAACAATGGTTTATTCACTTATCAGTTATTTAAGTCATTCTGTGCAAGACTTTGGGGAAAGGATTCAAAGGTCTTCAGGGGTATTTGGCTTCTATCTCCACAGACTTCTTGGTATATCCTGTGACCATTCCTGGATTTGGTTTTAACTAGGCAGATATTCTTTTTGTTTTGTTTTAAGGAAAACAAAAGGTCCCAATTATGTAATATATTAGGCTAGTCTTAGAACCAAAAGATGTCACATGTGATGGGTTTTTAAGATGGGGAGACTTTAAATATAGATGGTAATCAGTTTACATTTTGATCTTTTAGGTCTGTGAATGTGGAGCGCTTATGTAAATACTTTTACTAGAAATCCTTTCACTTTTAAGAAATTTTAGTAGATTAATTGTACTTGTTAAAAGAACAATTCTTCAATTGTGACCAAGCAATCCCACAGCATACCTTAGAAGTTATGCCTAGTACCTGACTGAGCTGTGGATAGATTTGTATTGGTGGTGGTGGTGGTCTTTGTTTTGTAATATAAGAGCTGTTTGCATTTTGTCTTAACCCCTCCTGGGTCCATCTTACTGCTCCGGTACGTGTTTGAGGGTGATAACGTGGAGGACAAAATGCTACTGACCTTGTAGTTGTCTTAGATGTTTACTACATAGACTCCTAAGCCAATGACAAGTGAAATGAAAGCTTGGAGTCATGTGGCTTTTACTTCGTGTTCCATTGTCATCTGAATTTAGTCCAGAACATGTATTTAGGCCTGGGGATTGCTCTCAGTATGAAGACATTTTCTGTTTTACTGGCTGTTCTACAAATCAGTGGGTGTAAAGATAGCTGATTTTGAAATGTCTTTTTTCTTTTACAGCCTTGGGACAATAATTCTGTGTGTGAAAACCCCTGCTCCTTCATTCCCACACCTGACAAGGAAGAGGGTGAGCCAGCATCCCCAAGTTCCGCGTGTGGACCGCAGAGTTTCATGCCCTCCAGAGCCTCACCACTGCCTATACTGAAGTGAGTCACGTACCATGTGCCTTCCAGATCTTTTACTCCTTGTGCACAATCTCACCAAGTTAGTGTGGACGCATACTGACACTTTCATCTTTCACTTCTTTTGTATTTTGTAGCTGGGCAAATAGAGATGAGGTGTGGAAAATTATGCTAAACAAGGAGAAGACATACTTAAGGGATAAGCACTTTATGCAGCGGCACCCTCTTTTGCAGCCTAAGATGCGAGCAATTCTTCTGGATTGGTTAATGGAGGTGAGCTTGAGTCTTCCTGCTGACTGGAAGCATTGACCACTTCTAGAATCTTCTGTGCTATTATGATGTCTTCCTGTGTTTGATCCCATTGACGCATTCTGTGTCTCGGAAGCTGTGGTATATATATTCCCATTTTGCTTGCATGCTTCCTTAGAAGAATTTCTGAAGTCTCTTTACCATGAAGATATTTTTAAGTTGGCCTCTAGTTTTTTTCTCCAAAGTTCAAATAATTACAAAAGTTCTATTTTCCACTTAACTGTAAATCTTGATATTTGGTCTTTGTTAATTAAATTGCTTTTAAATCTATCCAGTGGAATGCAGATAACAGCTACTCGATAGCCACTATCATAAATTTTAAAAATATATGAGCAGGCTATCTTTAACAGCTAGAAAGCTTGCATTGTTCCTTTTTAACTTTTTGGAATCCATTTCTCCTTCCCCACAGAATATCATCCTAACAAAATATATTGTTCAAATCTTTTGTTGGTCGCACTGTCAGACTTCTCTGCAACAACTGATCAAAAGAACGAGTATTACAAATTGTGATGGGTAATTGTTAAACATAAAAAGTGATATTGTGTAGGCCTGCACCTCACTCTGAGAGTCAGTGTGGTGACTCAGTGGTGCCTCGATGAAGGGGTGCTTCCTGGACAACCTGGAAGCTTTGGGTGATAAGAAGTGGGCTTTGTGTTGTTGAAGATATCATATTTATGAAGAAGGACATGGGAAGCTAAGTGTCTATTCCCTAAAAACAAACTCTGCTGTGTACTCTTTGGAAAGCCTATATTTGAGGGGTATGTGGCCCCCTCTTATGCTCAGCCTAGAATCCGATCCCTTGCTGCCGCCTCACCACATATCCATCTTGGTCAGGCAAGTCACTGAACTTAGAATCTTGATTTTCTCATCTGTCACATTTTCTACCAGTATTTTCCTTTCAGAGTTTGTAGGGATTAGAAATTGTAGGCAAGAAAAGATAGTTGTTTTTACCATCCTTGATTTGCTTTTCTTTATTGGTCTCTGAAAACGTTAACATTTTCTGTACTGAGATCTTGGCCTTGCCGTTGCCCACTGCAGTCCCACTAATGTCACATAGCCCTTCTGGGCCCTTGGAGACGTTCTAGAATCTTCTAGAATGAAGATTCTAGAATCTTCTAGAAGACATGCCTCGAAACATTAGATGTAGTATACTTTACTGTCAGGCTTCACCTCATAAGATGTTGTGATGGAGAACTATTTTGTATAATGCAGATGATGCTAAATACTTTAGGGAAGGTTTCTCTCTGAAAGTAAATCAAAAAAAGTCATATACCATTGAAAGGATAGAAAAGAATGGTAACCTTTTTGTCTTCAGGCTTGTCTGCAGTGATGCTATTTCTCAGCCCTGAGCACAGCCAGAAAGTCTGCGTGCATATGGGAAAGGCAGTGCTCAGGCCGTGTGCCCAACTGTGAGCTGGGTGACAGGTTGGAGAGTTTGTTCCTGAGAGGACAGAAGTTCTAGTTTCACTTCTGATCAGATCATAATAGTATTACTTTATAAAAACGGACTTCAAATATGCCTCAACCTGGACTTTAGAAATACTCTTCAGTGATTGATGGAATTTTCTCTCAATGTTCTGTTGTTTCTCCCATGCCTTTTCTACTTTTTAACCCCAAAATTGCACTCACACATGGGAAGGCCTGTGTAGGAATGGCAGGTCTATATGCATAATCAGACATTATAGATTGTGGTGATGAGTGGAGGTCTACTATTTCCGTGGTCCTTTCCTCTTCAGCTCACCCATGCACACCATTTTACCCAATCTCTCAGCAATCCTGTGAGGCGGGCAGGGCAGGCATATCCTAATTTTATAGTTAGAGATTATCATTCACGGTTTTTCCATGAAAATGCTGCTTTACCAGCCTATGCACATTTGCTCTGACTGTTACACTTAAGAACACTTAAATCTTTCTGAGTTCCAGCTTTTTACTGTCCTTGTACTTAGGGACAAGCCAGGTAACAGTCCTTTCAGAAAAACAAAGTTCTCTCTCTTGATTTGGTTATATTGTCCTTTACCAAAACTCATGACAAGTTTTTTTGTCTTTCTTTTTTCCTCAAGTAACTATTCTAAAACATAATAAATATTTTTTTCAGGTGTGCGAAGTCTATAAACTTCACAGAGAGACATTTTACTTGGCCCAGGATTTCTTTGATCGGTATATGGCAACACAACAAAATATTGTAAAAACACTTTTACAGCTTATTGGGATTTCATCTTTATTTATTGCTGCCAAACTTGAGGTAAATTATTTTCAAATATTTGTTATGTAACACATTCTGTTTCTTGAGATCCCCCGAGATTACTGCAAGAGGCCAACTGTTTATCTACATTTTTCTAATTTGAGGTCATCTAAAGTAAAGATACATGCAGAAAGGGCTAGAAATTAACCAAGAAGTGAGGGAAGTAGTGAGTATATAAAATGCTTAGGGGAATGTAGTTACTTGAAGCCAAAAAAATTGAACTTTGACCCAAGAGGATTAGAATTCTGATGTGATGAGAAGAGTGGATAGGCCCAACTTTCGAACATGCTGCTAAAGGCATGAAAAAGGTGAAAATTTCAAGAATATCCCCGCTGAGTAAAAGCTGTGTTTATGTCTTTATTTACTGGTAATGATGGGTGTTTGGTTTCTTTCACAAGGAATGCATTTTGACCAGTGGAGTAGCTCCTGTATTTAGTCCATGATGTTCCCTCTCTCTTTCTATGCTCGTATACTAAAAACAGTGAATGTGAATGTACATTGTAAGCTGAAACTATTAGAGAAATTTGCTAGTCATTTCTCCCTTTTATTTCCTTCTAGGAAATCTATCCTCCAAAGCTGCACCAGTTTGCTTACGTTACAGATGGGGCTTGTTCAGGAGAGGAAATTCTTAGCATGGAATTAATCATTATGAAGGTAGGTTACAAGTTGATTTTTCAGTCCTTTTCTTTAAATGCATACATAATATCTTTTCTACATTCAGTGTAAGTGCCTCTGACTAGGTGTTCTCCAGCTGGACACATTGTGGCATGGAGTGTGGCTGCATTTTGAACTCCTTTAGAGGCCCAATGGGAGCAGAAATGTCTTTTTTTCTGCCCCGCTCAACCATTGATCTGACCTTTCTCTCTGTTTTCTCCTAGGCCCTTAAGTGGCACTTAAGTCCCCTGACCATTGTGTCCTGGCTGAATGTGTATATGCAGGTTGCGTATCTAAATGACTTATATGAAGTGCTCCTGCCTCAGTATCCCCAGCACATCTTCATACAGATTGCAGAGGTGAGTGGCTCTGTTACCTCTGGGGGTTCCTACCCCACCGGGAGACGGAAGAACTCAGGATAGAGGCTGGCTGCCTGCTTCAGTGTTCTTTTCTGCTCCACAGCTTTTAGATCTTTGTGTCCTGGATGTTGGCTGCTTAGAATTTCCCTACGGTGTACTTGCTGCTTCTGCCTTGTATCATTTCTCCTCATCGGAATTGATGCAAAAGGTTTCAGGTATGTTGGCTTTCCAGTTCATTCACAAGAAGTATTGAACTTACAAATCGACGGAGCCTAAAATTTACTTTTGTTGCAGGGTATCAGTGGTGTGATATAGAGAAGTGTGTCAAGTGGATGGTTCCATTTGCCATGGTTATAAGGGAGACAGGAAGTTCCAAACTTAAGCACTTCAGGGGAGTTCCTGCTGAAGATGCGCACAACATCCAGACCCATATAAACAGCTTGGATTTGCTGGTGAGTCGTGTTCCTTGTTCCCCAGATAAACTCCTGAAACCACCTGAGCAGCTTCTCCACTCTTCTTTGGGCAGCCTCCAGCTATCCACAAAAGCCTCCAATTCCTCTAATTCCTTTGAGAAAGAAAAACTGTGTTTAATAGATGTGATGTCTAGATAGCACTGCAGACCAGTGACTTCAGATTGTTCTTTGCTGTTCTGTTGCCCTCCCCTCCGCAGAGAGGAGCACATAGGACACGAAGCCCGAAGGATGCATTCTTCCATTTTTACCATTTCTCGCTTTTATTCTTACCAGGACAAAGCCCAAGCAAAGAAAGCCATATTGTCTGAACAAAATAGGATTTCTCCCCTCCCCACCGGGGTCCTCACCCCCCCACAGAGCAGTAAGAAGCAGAGCAATGAGCAGGGGACCGCGTGAGCACACCAGCCTCCTCCACCCAAGACAGTCATGTGGAAGCGCCCGCCCCAGGTTCTTGGCTGCGCACCGGAGCAGAGGCGTGCATTAGCTTTTACAGATATTTAAATGGAAGAGCATGTCTCTTCTGCAACCGAAGTGTTTCTGTGGATGGCATTGGACAGGGACAAGTGTTTTTTATTGAATGCTTAGAGTTTTTGAAATAAGTGGGTCAAGTACACCAGCCACCTCCAGAACACCAATGAGTGCTCCAGATGCTGCTAAGGAGGGTGATACTTGACTTGATTGACTGTGCACGCACGGAACAAAGGCTTGAAGTCGCGGAGTGCCACGTTGCCGTGGGCTCCCCTCGGGTGTGCTGGGCTGTGTCGCGTTGAGGGGAACAGGTGGTTGTGAGCGTTGTGATGTGGAGCCCACAACCAACCGTGCTGGGGGCCTGCCCTTTTCACACTATCAGTTGACAGTGTACAATGCCTTTTATGAACTGTTATTTTGTAAGTGCTGCTACGTCTGTTTTTTTAATAAAGATAACACTGTCTTTGAGACAGCTGGTTTTATGAGCTCTGTGTGAGCATTTGAGTTAGAAGTCTTCTTTGAGTGTGGCTGTATCAAGTTCTCCTTTTTCGCTTCATACCTCTTAAAGCTCCCACCTTTCAAGCAAAGATATTTAAAAGAAGACTTCTGAAGTGAGCATTAGGGGTAGCCACGAATGCCTCCCGAGGGCCTCCTGAGGGGGGAACAAGGCCTTGATTTGGCATTTCTCCCACATTGTCCCAGCCCTGCACAGCGGCTGCTCAGGTGGGGCTCACGGGCTGGCTGTGGCAGGACCAGGGAACTCACGTCTGCAAGAGGATTCTTAGGGATGGTGTCTGCTCTACGACAGGCCAGAGGTCATAAAGCATCTCTAGTAAGTGTTCCTCCACACCCTTTTCATTCTTACCCACATCTTAACCTAAAGAGCTTTCATTGGGAGAGCTTGTTAACAAAATGTCATAGCCTAAAACTATACTTTGAGAAAGAAAATGTATAATAAAATGATATATAGCTCAAGTGCACAGTCTGTTCCCTGACCGTTGATGGAGTCTCCAAGTGCCTTGCTAATGGAGGAAGTCCCTGCCCATTTTAAGGCCTAACGTGTGGAGGTCACCCGGCATTTTGTGGCTCATTCTCATTGTGGTGGTCTTTTTTTTTTTTTTTTTAAGATTTTATTTATTTATATGACAGAGGACAACAAGAGAGGGAACACAAGCAGAGGGAGTGGGACAGGGAGAAGCAGGCTTCCCACTAAGCAGGGAGCCAGCCCAATGCAGGCCTCGATCCCGGGACCCTGGGATCATGAGCTGAGCTGACCATAGATGCTTAAGAACTGAGCCACCCAGGTGTCCCTCACCATGGTGGTCTTGTGTGTCTCACTTCCTTGCAGTGCTTTGGTGTATGGGTTCAGAAAAAGGGAGGGCGAATGAACAAACAAACCCACTTATTTTTAACTTGGTATTTTATCTCACTTTGCAAAACCCTGTCAGAAGTGGAAAAACAGCCATTTAAAAATCTGTATCATATTTATATGAAGTTGGAGAGAGACCCTACTCCTTCCTATTGTGATGCTATAGTTCTAGCACGTTTTAATATGGCATTCTGGATGAATGCATTATAAATCTATATGTGCTGGTAGTCAGATGGTACTCCGAGCTAATTATTTCTTCATCTCGGGCAGAGATGCTCCCACCTTAAAAAGCAGTGGATTTTTAATGGCAATCATTCATAATTGACTTGTTGGAAAAATCCTAAAAGTGGTTAATTCACATTTGGCATTTTCTATGCAAAAATAGGGCACCAGAAACATTACTATTTTCAAAGCTTTGGATAAGTCTTAGGGCTTGACCGGTGAGGGAACACTGGTCTGAACACACGTTTGAGGCAAACACTGCTTCATAGACCGTCCAGCCCATGTGCTGAAATGAGAATGACTTATATGCAAATTCAAGAGTGCTGCATTTCTGGACTTCAGTGCTTTTTGTTTTTATTAAATAGCAGTGTTAACCAGAGGCAGCTCTAATGAAGGATGTGTCCCGGGTGGATCCTGGGTGGGTAAGTGAAATTCATAGAAACCCATATTTTCTGTGACTCTGCCAGAAACACTAAGAGCCACTAGTAAGTAACATCAAGTTTCCCAGCTCTAAGGAGCTCCTCCCTTTCTAGTAGTTGGCACCAACTTTGCTCCCTCGCTGGTTGGCTCTGCATACCCATTTGCCAAATCATTTCTGTTTTGCCATTCAACTAAACCCAGCGGAGGCCAGGGGATGCCAAACAAGACATCGGAGGGAAAATGCCAGGTCTGGTCCACCTTGGATGAGTAAATGCTCTGAGGCAGAGGTGGTGAGCAGGAGGACCCAGAGAAGGAGGTGAAGTGGTCCCTTAGTCTGACTTCCTTGTGCTAGAGGAGGAGCTAAGAGAGTAACTTATTGACCAACCATAAGGGCTGATTGGATTGTGGTAGAGCAAACCACATCCTCATGTCACGCCCTAGCTCACAGTTCACTTGCTAGACCTCCCCAGAGTTGCTCTGGTGTCTCTGTCCCCCGTGCCGAAGAAAGAAAACCCTGGTCTTCAGGTAGTGGGTATGCAAGGCCTTCCAATGCCATCTTCCCCTCGTGGAACTCAGATAGCTTCTCACTGCAAGGATTTCACACCAAGTGGATAAATGATGTTAAGGTTCACAGGGACTTTAAGTTCCTCAAGGCAGATAAATAAAGCTGGTGAGCCCTTTAAGATTTGGAGCACAGGGCGCCTGGGTGGCTCAGTGGGTTAAGCCGCTGCCTTCGGCTCAGGTCATGATCTCAGGGTCCTGGGATCGAGTCCCGCATCGGGCTCTCTGCTCAGCGGGGAGCCTGCTTCCCTTCCTCTCTCTCTGCCTGCCTCTCTGCCTACTTGTGATCTCTGTCTGTCAAATAAATAAATAAAAATCTTTAAAATTTGATTAAAGATTTGGAGCACAGAGCAAGATAGACTTCTAGCCTCTAACTCAGACGCAAACGAGATTGGCGTTTAGTCGGGCAAAATTAGGCTCTAGCTCAGAGCAGGGTTGGAAAGAGAAATCAAATCTCATAATGTCTAGTCATATTTACCCAACCGTGCATTTCCCTACCACATGTTCAACATTTTGAAATTCAAATCACATTTATACCTTGGACATTGTTAGAAGACTATTTTTATCCCTGCTGTAATCATCTAATTTGCTGATTACAGGTCTCAAATTGCCACAGAGAACTCAATTTTTGAAAGAATTGTCCTGTTTGATCAAATATGTTATTCAAGCAATGCAGTCATTTGTTCCACAAGGTTACCTGCCAGGCAGAGCGAACGAGGAGTAATAGCATTAGAAGCCTATACTTAAAATCAAGCATTAGCTAATCTGCCTGTGACAATAGAGTCTTAAATATAATTTGCTGCAGATACTTCAGTTCCCGCACTGACAGACAATTGTATTTTGTATTCAATGAGCATAGACTTTTCCCTACCTCATCCCAATTCCAAATTTAACTCCCGAAGACGCTGATGTGCTCAGTTTCACAGGCTTACCAGGTACCATTTCCCAGGAGCCTCAGACGGGAGGCCAACGCTGTCCTGTATTGAATAACGACTCCCTCTACACCCTAACCCCCGCCTGTCATTAAATCATTTTTCCTGATCAATGCCAATTCCCAAACTCACATAGCATCTGACTGCAGTCAGTTCTGGTCTGATGCTGGCTTCCCCATTGTGGTATGTGAGGTGGCCTCAGTCCTGAGGCCCTGCTGTGCACTGGGCACCACCAGCCCTAGAGATGAAAGCACACAGGATGCAATCCGAGAGCTCAGGTGAGCCTGTCTGGAGCAGGGAGGGAGCATGGGGGCATGGGAAGGGCCTGGAGCAGAGCCGGTGTGTCAGTTTGAGAGGGTGCTGCTGTGTCTGCAGCGGTAAAGAGCAGTCATGGTCACGAGTCAGTGGAAGAAATAGGCTATGAGGCAGTGGAGGTGACAGAGGCCACGTCATAACGGGCTTTTACACGTCAGGCTGTACACGGGCCCGGTGTCCCTGGCAGCAGGGAGCTGGTGTTTGTGAAGGGGACAGTGATGGGCTCAGAGTTATGTCTGGAGGCAGAAGTTGAAGAAACAAGCCCAGAGTTCTGCCTCTCAGCGTCCTGGGAAAAGGACCGTGCGCTCCACGCGTCAGTGATTTCTAAATAGCCCTGCCTCCGTGACTACCCCACCTGTCCTTCCAGGCCACAGTGACTTCTGCACCTGCATCTTGGCCTGTCTGCTCATCCACAGGCAGCTAGACCCTCAGCTCCCATAGGACACCAGCCCTGCCTGGCCCACACCGCTGTCCCCAGCACCTCCCATCTGAAGGGTTCCTCCACCTGCGCATCTCCTCCCAGCAATGCACTTTGCATCTTCTAAGGAAATTGCTTACACCACTTGCCGTTGTAAATACAATGGAAACTAGCGATACGCAATACACATAGGAAAACCACTCAATTCCCAAGTCATCAGTGAGATCAGCTCCCACGCATCAGACAGGCAAACACGTTTAAGTGCAGAAAGCAATACAGTAACTTACATGAAGACCCATCCCCAATTTCTCGTCACATTTTTTTTTAAAGGACTACAACATTAAGGATGCCACTGAAGGGCCCCCTTGTCTCCCTCCCCTGTCCCATTGTCTTTCTTTCCTCCTCAGAGGAAATAATCACCCCGAGGTCAGTGTGAATGATTCCCACACATATTTTTAGACTTTTATCTTTCACATTTGGCTCCATAAGCAATAGACTTAGGAAAACACCACTTTGGGTGTTTTAAAAACCGGCAAGAGTGGCATCCATCCTTACCTATAATAATATCACTTCCTATTCTCTTTCAACGTTATTTTCAACATTTACCCGCGTGGACATATAGAGGGTTGGATGGATTTATTTATTTATTTATTTATTTATTTATTTATTTATTTTTTAAGGATTTTATTTATTTATTTGTCAGAGAGAGAGAGTACACACAAGCAGGCAGAGAGGCAGGCAGAGAGAGAGGAGGAAGCAGGCTCCCCGCCAAGCAAGGAGCCGGATGCGGGACTCGATCCCAGGACCCCAGGATCATGACCTGAGCCGAAGGCAGCAGCTTAACCCACTGAGCCACCCAGGCGTCCCGGATTTATTTATTTTTAACTGTGGCAGAGTTTTCTCTTCTGTGACTTTCCCACGAGGTATAAAGTCCCTCCCAGGCCAGCCCATGAGTAGGTCAGCAATGCTGTCACCGTCACCGACGACGCTGCCATGAACATCTCGCACACGCATGGGCCATGTGTGTGGGTTTCTCCTGGGCACGTCCCCAGACCTGGAAACTGACATGTCAAAGGGCGTGTGCTCCTGCGGCTTTACTAGGTGTGGTCAGCTAATTCCCCAAATTATGCCGATCAATCCTCCCAGCCAGGGAGCAGGAGAGAGCCTGCCTTCCCATGGTGGTTCCAGCACTTGCAACAGCCATCTTTTCGTCCCGTGAAAATTGCTATTATT